GCGCCATATTCCCTGCAGAAGGTTTGGGATGGTGCTGCGCACGGACCATCTCCCAACAACTCTCGAGGAGCTGATGACAAACTTTTTGCAAACTACAGTAACCAATACAAGGATAAAACATGTGACATTAACACTTATGAGTCATGATTGTTCCGATCCGATCGCTCAAGCCGGGGCTGTAAAATACTATGAGATGTCACGGTGCTGTGTAACGTGTACATACACACCGTAACTACTGTGACAGGTTGAGATAGGCGATCGGTGTAAGGTGACGATATCGCCAGTGGGTATTAGAACGCGCAAGCAGCGACTGGATCAGCCTGACACTCAATTTATCCATTCTGACGCTCGAGAAAGAAGTCACGATCAAACAAGCGGACCCTTCAGATCCAGTTATTCACTCATAAACTCATTATGGAATGTTCTTTTGGAATCACCGGTTTGTAATGACCACCACAATCCTCCGCTGATAATTCATGGTCCAGATAGCGTGTTTTGCAAGACTGATATGGATATGGATCGTGTTCCGCTTATAGGCAAGGACTTTGTCATTTTGTTAGTCCCCATAACTTTTAACTACCCTTCAGCGGCCAGTGCACAACTGGCAGAGTATGACTGACCATGGTTCTCCGCCCTGGAAATCGACTCGTGCCTGGTCTAGTGCCTCTGACTCTTCAGCCGCTCGAAGTATCGTGAAAATGAAAGGAGGGGAGGATAAGCAAAAAGTGGTTTCCAAGCACGTGGTTATGGCGTACTCCGGGGAGCCCGGTAAGTACCTTTGGCTATACTCAACTCAAGATCTTCGGCACAGCAGGTTTTATGCGTATGTTTCAAAGAAGAATGAATGCTACTGATGACAATCTGCTTAGGTGATACGGTCCAATTCGCTGAATATGTCGAACGTAACTTGCGTCTTTATGGTATCAGGTGATCACCCTCGCTTCTTTTTTTTTATGTGTGCTGGTCACTAGCTAAGTGATGAGTCGAATTATCTTGCCTTGATTATATGCTCACGTATATAAGTTCTGTATAGGAATCACGTCGAGCTTTTGCCTCACGAAGCAGCATCCTGGACCCGTAACCAACTCGCCAGTTCGCTCAGGTCCCGCAAGCCCTATTCTGTCAATATGCTTCTCGGCGGCTACGACACCGCGCGCTCTTTGCCGATGCTCTATTGGATCGACTATCTGGGCACAATGGCCGAGGTTCCCTATGCGGCTCATGGCTACGGTGCCTACTTTTGTCTCAGTACAATGGACAGGTTCCACAGTCCGGACATGAACCTTGAGCAAGGTCTCGCACTCCTCAAGCGGTGCATCGATGAACTCAGTACTCGATTTATCGCCAATCTTGGAAGTGCGTATCGATCATTCACCCTTGGCATTCTCGTGCAATAGTGTTGATGTATATGCTTGGTGCACGTTCGCATGCCGCCTTTTTTTTCTTTGACTGAGCAGCATTTAAGATCCGCGTGGCAGATAAAGATGGTGTTCGGGAAGTTACCCTCTAGGTCTTGTTGCAAGCGATGTATGATTATCTTGTCTAGCACAGTAGCACATTCTTAAGGCACAAGGACAAAATCTATGCGGGGAAGTTGATCGCGAAGCGAGTCGCGCCCAGCAACTTGCCAGACTGTCATGTACATTCTATGTCCAGCTAGGGAAAGATTGCACAATGTTACATTGTGAACGCAAAAGCAGTCTCAAGCTCGCACGGCCTTCTTCTAGAGAGGCAATCAAAGCATATGGCCGACATATGTAAATCTAGGATGGGTGGTTGAGTGCCCGCTGCAGACCCTTCAAAGTTCAAACGTGTGTGAGCTGGTAAGACCCTATGTCCCTCTAGACCTTCCAGCGTTCCGAAGCATTTGGAGGGGTAACCCTCCCGAAGGCTGAAAATCCACCTGAACACCAGCGCCCTAGGGTCTGCAAATCGAGGGTAGTATAGTCCTTCCATATATGTGCCAGCGTCTCCACATGTCATCTCATGGGAAGTGTCATGTCTTTTTTCGCTGTTTTTCAACTTGAAATTAGGCGTGACTCGGCGTTCGAATCTGAGTTTTATTGCTAAACTCGCTGCGCATTCTTGCTGGATCTTACCAAACACAATTGGAGTACGCCACTTGAGGCTTTGCCAATCCAGCAGTAAGCTTTTGTGTCGGTAGAAAGCGATCACTCAGGTGCGTTTGAGTCAAAAATGTATGACTGAGAGCTTTGACGGTGGTATACGATCTCCTTTCTTTCCTCTCACTTTTTGGACTTTGAAAACATATGAACCTTGGATCGCTAAAGCGTTTCTTCTTTTATTACCTAATGTTATATGTCTTTTGAAAGTCGAACTGTACGATACCTGATGTTCGATTTCATATACATCTCTTCATAGGTTGTCACTCAACAGGATTTGACGTATCATTCTTTGCATGTTGGACAGCCCAGTATCGTCTACAATGGGGACGATAACACTCAAACCGAGGCTTGACCCAAAAGGTTTTCAGAATTTTCATCACAGTTCTATCACTAAATCCGTAGTACTGCCCGATAACCTCTCGGGGAGGGGCTCGCTGATATCTGTATTCTCATTGTTATAACAGCTCCCCGCTCGTCGCCTGATATCGTCTAGTGGTTAGGACACCAGGTTCTGATTGTTTGGACTTTCCTGGTAACCGCGGTTCGAATCCGCGTATCAGGTCTACGGCCTGAGCAGGTAACTTTTTGCGCGCATCACCCTTTTCCAATGAAACAATATTCAAGATAGCTCAAGTCTCCCACCAATCCTTGACTTTGAACTCTTGAACCCAAATCTAAAATAAATGAATAAAATCCTTACAGTGGGGAGAAAGTAGGTATAATTAAGCAAGTGATGGAATGCTTGAGTCAGAAATTAGTTTTTGAAACTTGAAATTTGAAAAAAAAAAAAAAAAAAAAAAAAAAAAAACACCCTTGAACTTGATCTATATCTTTAAAAATTAGTTCAACTTTTTGTATTTTGACCTTTGGAAGTACCAATCTTGATCATTAATTTTAGAGTTATTGAAGGTCTAACATACACTTAATGTGGATTAATGTCTTAAACTTTTTCATTTGAAAGGCACACTAATGGGAAGTTCTTATATATATACAAGTCAGAGATATTCTAAATATATCCATTAATAATAGTGTTCTGTAATCTTGACCTTCACTTATCCCATCATCAACCTTGACTCTCCCCCAAAAAATCATACTCAAGCCCTTCATACAACAAGGAACATTTCACAGATCTTGGAAATTTAGTTGAAATCACTTAAAGGCTAGCCAAACTCTTGATTTAATTGGGTCCTAATTTTCTGCTTAGTTAAGCACCAAAACTTGTATTGGCTGTGAGGAAAACACCTCTCTGTTCACCATTGGGTGAAGGCTTGGTCAGGTGTCTGATAATGATTATTTTTGGTCTCTGCCACTAGTGAGCACTTTGGATTTACAGAAGTTGCAGCTATTTTCCTGGATTTTGTCCTCAAAGCCCCTTATGCCTCAAAGCATGGTCTATGTGAATATCAAGTCTTACTTTCATATGGATTATACTTCAATACATTACCAAAGTATAATACACATGGTATATAGCAAGGTGCAGATCAAGACAATGTTTTGGAAAAAAAAAAAAAAAAAGGTAAACACACTGACAAGAGTTGGTTGAAATTGAACACATTAAAAACTGGGGGGTTCCCATCATACCCCACAAACCCTAAGTTTCTCCTTGGAGAGGTCCTCACCTTCAGTAACAAAGTGCTTTTAGAATGGATCTAATAATCACAATTTAATTGATTACAAAGTGAATCATAAACAAATGGAAAATCTGAAGGGGCATAATCTCCCCTGATGCATGCTATGAGATTTCTGTGATGAGTGGTAAGAGACATAATGGGTGCTGATTTGACCTGAAGTGTCAAAAAGATTGTAGATTTGACTGAAGTTTGGCAAAGATGACTGGTATTGATTTGTCACAGTTGGATCCCACTTCCAAGAAGAAGAACCAAATCCCACTCTATGATTTGTGTGGTGGGAAATATTGAAATCTGGGCCATTGGAATGTTAATCATACACAAGATTGTATGAGTCCAAGCAATGGTCACCCTGTCTGTATCAAGGTGACTTGTTGATGAGAGCAGACAAAGAACTTTTTTAGTTCTCTGATTGTTCTTATTTTTCACCCAGAGCCAGCACATGAGCCTTCCCTTTATGCAAAGTAACTTCCTTTCCTTTTTGCTCAATGCACCATGTGCTGAAAGGTGTGTACTGTATGCCTGTGTATCACTGCACAGTCCACAATTGTACTGACATTCATGAGCTGACATCATGATGAACATGGATCAGTGACTTGTATCTCATGGACATGAGTAACAAGGATGGGCTTGAGCCCTTGGGCCACCACCCCCCAGACACTAAGGCACTGGATTTGGGAGGGATTCTGAGGTGATTTCAAACATGACACCATGTGCTCTTGTTGACAAGTCACCTTCATATGGACAGGGTGTAAAGGGTTTGTTTTGAGTCAAGGGTTGAGACAAAGGCATATTATGCTTATGCATGATACATGTTTCATATCCTGTATTGTTACTACCATACACATGACTCTTGATACTGATTCTGAGTTGTCATTTTTATGTCTTGTAATGTATATGTAATTATTTACAGTGCTACTCTCATGTTTATACTAATGACACTGTCTTGTGAGAGCTTGTGGAACTGCCCAGCAGTCCTCAGGGCTGACAGGAGGGTTGAGTAGACTGCCACTCTGTTTGGCATTTCCCATCCCCAAAAAGGGGCCTTTGTTTGTGGTGTTCTTCTTGAAGTGTGGTCAATACACTACTGATCCATGCTATGTACACTATACCCTCATTGACCCACCAACTGTAACAGTTGCATAGCTCTTCTCATTTGATGAGGTCCCAGGTTCAAATCCTGGTCTAGTCATTCATTTTCTGGCACATAATTTCAAGAGTTCTTTGCCAGGGTGCCTATGTGATATTATCCAAAAGCTATTTATTGTTGAAGAAGTCAGAGGAAGCTGCCATAACAAGTCAAAGCCCATCAAGGGATGCAAAGTCAGAATTTATGCATCCCCAATGTGGTGTCTTTCTTGAAGCTGGTGCAACCACTTCAAAACATGCTTGACACAATGCAGTTCAGTGTTGTGTAATGCATACCTTGTTCCAGGAAGTAGCTGAAGGTTTATCTGTCTAAAATCTTGGAGTTTAGCACTTTGCTCACAGATCATAGTGGAGCTCAGTTTTCTGCAAAAAAACTTGGACCATGTGACCAGAGTATGTGTGCCAGTGTTCCAGGAGTGCATCCAGGGCATTGATTTGGGGTACTTCCTCAAGATGTGGGGGCTGATGCTGCAGACAGTTTGGATCAAAACTGAAGTCCATTGTAAAAGCAGGCATGGCCTGTATGTGTAATTCTGACAGCTAATGTGCCAGGGGCCAACATTTAATTTATGCTTCCATGGCAGTTCACTGCCACCATCACTGCCAAGATATTTGTATCGGATGGGCCTATCCGATGTTCTATCACCCCGAGATATGCGATGCAGTGTCAGTAGGATTAGGTGCG